CCCCCAGGACACGGGGGGGGGGGGGGGGGCATGTGGCGGGGGGGAGGGGGGGGGGGAGGGGGGGGCGGGTGGGGGGGGGGGGGGGGGCATGTGGCGGGGGGGAGGGGGGGGGGGAGGGGGGGGCGGGTGGGGGGGGGGGGGGGATTTTGTCTGAATAACCATGTACCTCCCTTTCTTAGGTTCCTGGGGTGACCATACGTGCCCCCTCCCCCTCGACCCTGAACCCTGCACTCTGTTTATAAGCTACTGCCATCAATACCCCACCCCTGCTGCTGCTGTTGGTGGTCCGCTGGCCGGGTGGGAAGAGTCCAGGCACACAGTCCTGGGCTGCAGGTCACTGTGGCTTTGGCTCGTGGATGAACCAGGCCTAGATCACCCACTCAGATGGAGGTGGAGGGCTGGCCCCCATCTGACATGGGCAGGCTGCACAATGAGGCCACTCTCTTCATGAAAACCAATACGGAAGAATCAAGTTTTTGTTACAAATCAGAACTAGACTGTGTTGGCATACAGTTATTTGTTTTGAAGTCCATAACATGATTTGTGCAATACACATATAAAGTAGAAATCAGTGACTTACCATCTAACAAGCTAATGAGACATAAGTAAAAGATTGACTGTGGAATGTGCAGAAGCAACTGACTGCAAAAATTTTTGAAGCATTTTTCTCTCTTTGGAAAAAAACACTGTTGTCATATTGTAAAATAAATTATCTTTATCGTTATTTTTTTAATCACCAGCCACCACAGAATAAATGTCGAGCTGTGCCAAGACTCACTGCATGGGACTCACTGCATGGGACTCACTGCATGGGACTCACTGCATGGTTGAAAATTAAGCGAATGCCGTGTTACCTTGGAGAGTGGGGTAGGTGAAGGTGTAACAGCTGTCGGAAATTGGCAGATCCGAGACGCTTGCAGCTGGAGCTCTGAGGAATTCATAAGAACATCTCTTTGCCACTGACATGACCGCGGGACCCACGACTATCCGTAAGTCACTCGGAAATTAACTCAGAAGCAACACAGGATTGTGGCCTGCCCACCTCAGCCAGGCTATGCTCGCTAACTGTGAGCAATACAAATCATTCACTGACCTTAGGCTTCACCCATTGGCCTTAAGATACATGCACTGACTTCAGGCTGCCCAAAGTGCAGTACAGCATGTTGCTTCACCCATAAGCCTATGCCCACTTAAACGTGCATTTGAGAGCTGTGGAGGCCAACTGCAATTCACAAACTACTCACAAGTATCCACTGATGCAGATGGAAAAACATTAATGGGTGATGCTTTACAATCACTGCATCTCCACAATGCGTTCATAGAACATTCATAAGAAGCATGTAAGTATACCTTAACCTGTCTTAAAGCATTGCTTTCACATTACTTTCAATGAACAACACATGACAGCTGTAACACACATTAATAACAAACATCATACTTGTATAATCATATAATGTTTATTATTAATGTTGTTAAGGTATGTTTGGATGTTAAGGTATACTTATATGCTGCTTATGAATGTTCTATGAACGCATTATGGAGATGCACTGAATGTTCTATGAATGCATTATAAAGGTATTATGGTGGCAGTTAATGTAAAACGCTATAGATTAATCTCATTAATCAAGATCGATAAACATTTTTCAGCGACCACCTCATCAAAAATGTTGCCTACCAAAGAAGGCAAGAAAAATCTATAACTCAAGGTCCACTTCCCCACATCACTGCACCGTCTTATCTTTCCCAATTCGCAGCATTACCCTATTTATCATGCTTTTGTCTGGAAACACAGCTACAGGGGATGTATGGGAACAGAATAGATTAACCAATTATTTTTTTTATATATATATTCAGCCCATTATTATCTCTGTTATTGCAATTCCTTTGCAAATGATTCTACAAAAAGGAAACATCCATTCAAAAGCAGTTCAGGTTGTTGGGAAGGTGAGTAGCTGGCTTCAGACTCTCTGGGGTACAGGGCACTTCGGGATTGAAAGAAAAAAGAGACACAGCACAGCCATGACACTCATATTCACAGGACACATGTTTAATGAAAACAATCATTATAACAATGATATATTGAAGTAAAAGCACATTAGACAGCAATTCACCATTGGCATTACAGTGCAATATTATATAATAATTCCAGTATCATTGTAGTATTTTTTTTTTTTTTAAATAACATTAACACGCAGTTCAGGATATACAAGAAGAACTTACACTCGGTTTGCTTCCGAACATCGGAATCTGAATCTGAGCTAGAACCCATTAAGGGAACTAACAGGAGTATACCAGCCATTCGTAAGGCATCTTGGGACGTGACAGAATGCGGTCTTCTCTAGACAGGACAGTAAAACGATGAACACCAAAGTGTGCGAACACTTAAGGCTAAGACGGAATTCAAAGGGAAGTGCATCTCCAGCCTGCACGTCTGCGATCTCAACCTGATCTCCTGCGTTTCTCGCTCGCTGCCGCAGACAGACTGTGTGGCAAGAGCACAGAGATTCATGTCACAGCAGCGCCATCACGGTACGTGACACTAGGAGGCGCTCAGACAGAGCAGACCGGAGAAAGGCAGAGCCCTCCTTCGCCTCGAAGCCGAAAGACCTATTAATCCAATTAAAGACTAAGCGCCGAATGTCCAGACAGAGTTATTCAGACTGCCCAACTGTCCCAGCCAAATGTCTTATTCGATTTCATTTATAAGCCACTTGTTATTATTTTAAACTGTCGATTTTTAAAAATATTGTTGTAGTTTTAATACATCCTTCCTGGTAAACAGACATTTCCAGAGATTCTGGACTTAGAATGTAGTTTTACTTGTTTCCGTTAACCAGTGAAAAATTCAGTTAATTAAACACGCACTCAAGCTGAAGTAATTATTTAAAACGTTTACGTATAATGCAAAAATATGTGGAAGACTTCAAGGTATAATAAGGAAACCAGATACATGTCAATTCACGTATGAAAATATGCAAAGCAATTTGATGATATATTGGCTTTAAAAATGAACTGAAATTAAATATGAATTAAGGATTATGAAAGTAATGCTTATATAATCATGTAAGCCCTGAATTCAGATCCTACGTTTGAAGGTAAATGTGGTGTTAATTACTGTAATTGCTTTGCAATTACATTGTAATTGCTTTGCAATTACATTGTAATTGCATACAGGGAGTGGACCAAAAATAGAATCATACGTAATGTCTGGGTCCAGGAATTACAGCAGGTAGGAATTACATCTTATCCTCAAAGATCAGGCAGCCCTCTTCAAAAGAAATCCAGAAAACTTAACACCAGTTTGATAGCGCTGGAATCCTCTGTCAACAGCACCTCCCCAGACGGTGCCACAATCGCGCCGCGGGACCGAGCGTCGACTGGAACAGCGTGTGCTGCCAGACACATCAGTCACCCTGCCGTCACCAGTAGGGCAGAAATGCATTGTGGGATAGTGACTTTATATATACATACACACACAAACCTCTTTATTTTCACACTGTCTGATACTTCTCAGACAAATCAGTCCTCCACTGCTTTTAACCCTTTTCTGGTGATTTTGTACAGTTACACCTTGAGTAAGATATCCATCCTCATTTCAATGACCCCACGTTGAACTCAGCACACAGCTTTTTTCATTGCTGCTCTTCTACTTCCCCTCAGTTTACAGTAACATCCGTTCGTCACAACTGAGGAATATGTGCTTTTGCAATGCTGGGAAAAACCCAACATACAAAAATAAAAAAGAGGATAACGCAACATTTTCATAAATAATCACTTTGTCAGAAAATATTAAGCAATGTCATGGATGTAAATGCTGTGCTAGGACAACAAGTTGAAGGTTTGCATCAAAATTAAGGCTCAATTAAGAACACATTTAAAACTGGTCACCAAACATATCAATCCATGTATGTGAGGATCCACAAGAACATGCCAGTGTTCAGTGGCTCGTGTACCAGCAGTGTAGGTATCCTGGCTAGCAGAAGAGCTCCATTTTGCAGCGTCCGCTTTTGCAGGTTCCTTGGGAGTCCATGCTGGATCTGGAGCACAGGAGCATCCTCTCTGACTCCTGCCCCTGTCCGCATGTCCACAGCTCTGCGGGCTGATTGCTCGCTGTCCTTGGCTTCAGAGACAGCGTCTCGAACTTCACGTAAGTCTCCCTGGAGAGCTCGTTCTCCCTCGCGCTTCTCCTCCGCTTGCAAAACAGAGACAGGATCTTGTAGAGCAGCAGAGCTATCATGGGCACGGCAAGGACGCATGCAAAGCTGCTGACGACCATCAGCGTGGGACTGGTGACCTCCGCTGCCACCTCCTTGGCCGTGGAGAAGCTCACGCACTGGTCTCGCCTTGACTGCCCCCCTTTGACGATTAGGCAGGCCATGTACTTGGTGTTGGCTTTCAGGCCCTCCAAGGCTAGCTTTCCCTTACCCACCTCAGTGGTGACCGTCTGTTTCACCTTCTCCTCATATGGGGAGTACACTATGGCGAGTGGCACGTTGCCAGGGACCACATCCGCCTTCCACACCAGCACCACGCTGTCAGTGTTCTCCTCAACAACCTGGATGTTCTTGACGGACAGCTTCTGTAAGGCAAGCCTGGTGCTGTTCCCTTTGGAATTCTCGTCCTGTGGTGGCATCTTCTTGAGGTTCTCCTGATGCATTTTGGCAGGCGACCCTTGTTGGCCGTCCAGTGAAGGGGGCTGTTTCTTGGTGGGGGGTGGGGACAGGGTGGTGGTAAGAGTGCTGGTGGTGGTATGTTGGGTGGTAATGGGGGTCACCGGCACAGAGTCCGCCTGTCTCTCCTTTTCCACACCAGACTTCTGGGCGAACCCTCCTCCACTTGCAGGTGCATCCGTATCCCCTGCTACCGTAAGAGTGATAGATGCCACTACTGTCCCAGCCAAATTTTTGGCCTTGCAGTGATAGTCCCCAGCATCTTTGTACTGTACTCCATTGAGACTGATAATGGACCATCTGACACCCTCGCCTGGAGATTCCTGAACGACTGTCCAAAGGAAGCAAAACACAAGGCCAACAGTGACCTCAGAGTACAGTTATATTCATTACCTGTAGCTTGGGCAATCATTTGGGTGTCCTAACGCCATTCTTCACTAAGGTCATCAATAGGTACATGCAAACACTCAATCCCAAAGAGCAGGACCTGGCTATAATATTTAGTGTCTTTTCAAATTTTGAAGACATGACATGACTTAGCAGAAAGTTGAAAAAGAAATCAATTTCTCCTTATGAGATAAAATGTCACATTTGAGTGTCCTTCAGAATTATCAATAGGAAGATCAGCATGCAAGGTACTTCAGACAGACATTTATGTTGAGCTCCACAGATTAAGCTTAATTATCTATTACGCTTTGCTGATCCTACCTGACATTCAGGGGGACCTATTGCAACAGCAAAGATTCCTGAGCAATAGTAATATATTGTTGGTCAGCTTGCTGTAGCTGGCTTGGGAGTCCCCACGTTCAGGGAAGGGCAGGTCAACGTTAACCATGCTAGCTGACAAAACTTCAGCCTAAAGCAGGGGTATCACCAAGATTAGCTAGGGATGCTTAGTAGTGGCACTCAAAGCAGAATAATAAATGACAAAGTCTTGATGTGCATGGTCATGAGTAGGGATACCATATTTGGTGAAACGAAAAAGAGGACCGGTCCGGAGATCAGAGTATTAATGAGTTTTCATGCTCACCGTCCAATCCGGTAGCACATCTGTCATAAATATTAATGAGTTTTTGCATTCACTGCCTAATAAGTTAGTGTTTCTCTTACGAATATTAATGGTTTTCCCTAACCGCACTGTAAAATGGAAAATTCACTTCCGGGGAAACCTGAACGTAATGTGATCTTACAGTTAGCTCTCGTTTTACAATCTACACACAATTGACATGATGCACGTGTATATAAGTCTTTTACAAGAAAAGTTACAAAACGCTAAGCTAAAGTTTGCAACGATGCAAACGATGCGATTCGCTGTTCACACGAAATCAAAAATAAAGTGTCCAAGTGGCGATGGTTTCCAAAAGTCGATGTCACTCGTCAGCAATGTGACATGTAGAGCTGTGCGTATCATTCAATGTTTAAAGCAAAATGTGCGCAAGCCTTGCAAACACTGTGTGATGATACTTAGTGTCTGGTGTACATTGGAAATTGGTGCCTTTTCCTTCGCTTGGGACTCCACTGTAACTTGCAGCACTGGGTCATATGGGTTGCAGCGCTAAACCGTCAATTTTTGAAAAACCACCCGGATGCCTGGACAGGGACCCAAGAAGAAGACATGTCCGGGGAAACCCGGAAGCATGGTAGCCTTTGTCATGAGGACGACACCAAAGGCTACGAAATTAGCTTGATGAACATCAGATGTTGCAATAGCTTGCAAGCAGTCAGATGGCTGTCTGCAAAGCTTAGTGCTACAGCTAAAAGAGTGGACGCTCTCTCTGATATTACCTGTGCTGTTGACGGGCGAGCCGTCGGACCTGGTCCAGATGAGGCTGGGGGTTGGAAGACCGGTAGCGTCACAGCGCAGAAGCACATTGCTGCCCAGGGGTGACGTGATCTTGGTAGCAGAGGTCATGACCGTTGGCTTGACACACCGGTCCAGCTCGACCCGAGAGAACAGCACGCCGGCCAGGTTTTCAGGACCACTGCAGACCAGGAGCTGGTCTAGCAGCACCACTGATGTTACCGTCATCTTGGAAAGCTCAATCAGCTTGGAGATCCGGCAGTCGCAGACCCATGGGTTGTCTTGAAGCCCTGAAAGTGGGAGCATGAGAATCTTTTACTCCAGATCACTGAGTGATTAATTTAACTATAGCAACGAGCTAAGCATACGAGGCATGATACTCTTTCATGGAGAGGTCATTGGCTTATAAACTGTGCTAAAGAAAAAAAAACACCCAAATCTTGCAGGCCAGCACTAGTCCTTTTACGGCAAGCTATGGGTATTCTGGAAATTTCCGAGGCAGTAATCACACTGTGGTTGCTTCCCATCTATAGACAAAAAAATCTTTCAGCCATGTGACATGAACACGGAAAGCATGACAAGAGGTCAAAAAAAAACAACTGACGTTACACTGATCTGCTTCCTAATCGTGTTAATCTTCTGAAACCCATAGTATCTACAGCACAAATTTAGCAGAGTCCACGTTTCAAAACCCAGATGACTGGAGAGTTCACCTGTGCGAGGGGCTGCCATGAGTATTCGGGGGGGGGGGGGGGGGGTTACTGGAACACAGACCCTCAGAATTACCACATGTGAAGCCGGCTTTGCTGCTCACGTCTCCAGACGTCAACAGACAAGTACACGTAGGAAATATCACAAGCAGTCCTCCTTATCAGTGTTTCCCCTCTAAATGCACAGCTTGGCACCATCGGCAAACAGATGCACCGCTTTAAATCAACTCTGCTGCCAGGGTTAATATTTGATGCTCTGTGCTTTGGGTTAATATTTGGATTAGGTGTAACCGCGGCAACGGCTTCAAAGAGGACCGGAATTTTAATCTAAAACTGTCTCCCGCCAAACCCGGAGACACAGCCACAATGCAGGCCTTACAGAATGTAAGCATCGTTACCCTTTACCAAGGTTTGAACATTAGGGCTTTTAGCTTTTGCACGTGATTAACGCTGAAGAATAACATCAAAGGGGCAGCTCTCTCATCTAATTCGCAGTCATGGTCTTATGGCTGCACCGCAGACAAGACAAACACAGAGTAAACACTAAGGGGAATGAAGCGATAGGCCTGCGAATTCACCTGACCACATTCGGAGGAAGTAAATAAGAGCACCTGAATGAAACTTGTGTACACAAAGGAGAAACAAACACGGCATGAGGTGTGAGGCCGCTTTTCTGGGGGAAGTTCCACATATGCTTAAATATTGCAGCCTTAGCTTAGCATTGGCAGCCTGACACAAGAAGACAAACCTCTGGTACGAGGCGTGTGCTGGAAATCTGTTTACGAGGCCCGGCTAACCGGCTTACTGTCCCGGGCGCTTAACCAGGGGACGACCACAGACACGAAATCTCCATTTGGCATCGCTCCCATTAAACACTTAGCTTCATCACTGGCCAAAAAGGGAAGCTAATGGAGCATTCTGGTACTCTGCTCTAGCGGTTACAATATTCTAGAGGGAATAAAGAGACAGCTACGCATTAGCTCTTTGGCCAACTTCAAACTCACAAACACCGTATGCATTTTATATGTGACCTTTAGCGTTACTGTCGCACTGGGTTTGAATTTGAGGAAGACATTTTTCTTCAGCATAAGGCTGCCCTAGTGTTGGAAATATTCATCTTTCTTATAACTAAAAGGTATTCCTCATCTCTTTCTGGCATTCCCATCTAGGGTAACCTGGTAGTAGATAGTTCTATTATGAAAAATAGGAATTATAACAGTAAATAGCCATTTCGACTTCAATATATTTATGTCCTTTATTGTTTTTTATTAATTGGCACCGTGAACATTCTTAGATTTGTATGTATATCCTAATTATGTCACAGAGAACCTAAACCCATGGTTACTGGAGGCTAGGTTTGAGACAGACACCTACAGGCTCAACCCTACAGAGGTCTGTACTCTGGGCCCTCACACAAACTCTGAAG